ATAGCCAACAGGAAATGTGGGAAAGACAGCAGGAAATGTGATGCAGTAAAAGGTACACCTGGTTGGGAGTTGACCTGGAACATTGTGCTGTTTTGCATTGCACTTGAAAGTTTTTGTTAACCCGCAGTGTTGTCGTCTCTTTGCTTTTGGCTACAGCTGGCAGATCTACAATGCAGCTGTCCTTTGGCGAAGATAGTACAGCATTTAGCCGCTATACAGTTAGGTAATTAACCATGGACTGGTTAGAGATTAAAACAAAGGTAACGTCAGTAAATATTGGTCTTGGATTCAAAAGGGTGGAAACAGACAAATTATAGGTGATTACTTTGCTCGGTAACTGCTCTGTGTCTTGCTAACAAGTTCACCAAATCAGCCTAAAACAAGTGCTGTAACAAGTTTCCACTGTGGGTAAACAAAATCAGTTATTCCAGCAAATCCTGATGTCACAGTCGGGCTCACCAGTTCACTTCAGCACCAGTAAAACACCGATAACTGTAGTTTTGGTCCAGCTCTCCCTGTCAGAGCTGCAGTCTGTCTCCTTCAGGCAGATTTGTTGTTCTTTAGAAAGGAAGCTTTTCACTACTCAGGAGTCCTGGCTTCATATGGCCCGGGGCATGTTAGTCGACACAGACGAGTACTAACAAGACCTAGTGGGGGATATAAGCCTTATGTACAGCCTGCAGCTAATCAGCACATGATGAACGGGTGACTTAATGGAGATGATTTATCTGTCGGAGGTTTTCCATCTGAACGAGCTTTATTCAGGTTCATCATTCGATCTATCAGCTCTTAGACAAGCTGTGCACCTGAGACAGTTTCACACTGTCACATTAAACTCCTTTTTTTTCCTAAGAAGGCTTGATAGAGAGTAGAGAGAGTCACTTTGGGAGATCTTAGTGAGACATATACAGGGAAGTGTGCTGTGTTTAAAGGGTGAAATTAAGTGGTATTTACAATTAATGAGGCAATGGGGGATGGTGAAAACGGCAAAGACTAGAGAATCCTCGAGAAGGAAAGACATCTGTGGGATTTAGCTTCTCTTCCTCGCTCTCTTAAAAACCAGCTTGCTTCATGTACAGTCTCAGTGCGTACCCAGTTGGCACAATGCCTCCTGGCAAGGATTAGCTAAAATGAGAGCTGTCCCCTGTGTGTTCATACGTAACTTTGAAACTGTCCCTCGCAGAACGATTATGTGCTTATCAGATTATCCTAACATGTTCACAGCAACCAAAATAGGATGCATGAGCATAGGGGGAAAAAGAAGAAACTTGATTTGTATGAGTTTATGGTACGGTTTTCTGGAAGCGCTGCAGATGTCCTCAGGCTAACACTGCTGAGTCCACACGTTCATGGATATGCGGGTGAGAACAACACTTGGGTATCACATATGTCAAAAGCAGCCACAGCCAGCATTATCACCCTGCCAGCAATTTACACTTACAAGCATGTGCAGTGACTTGATTCGAGTAGGGAATGATTTGGAGCATACTGGCCACTCATAGATACTAGTATTTATTCAGCATTTACCTTGCTGCAAAAAGAGCTCATTATATTCTTACTTTGTTTAAGTTACAGTCACCTCCTTGTTATCCAGGTTGGAAGTCGCTCCTTTTTCATAAGTGAAACACAAACTGAACCACATTACCTGTTTATTTTTTGTCACAGGGTAGCTTATTATTCTTTGGACTGTAGCCTCAGCGTGAGTTTATTTATTAGCTTCGCGGGCCGTGAAGTTACTCGTTCATATTGTGCTGTGCTTCTCAGCCCTCGCTGACGGGACTCCGAGCCTGCTGGTTCTCATTCTATCCGTCTAATCAGGGACCGAGTTACACCTGCGATGCCACGTGGATGCAATTAACTGACTGGCTTGGAAATAGTAGCAGCACTGTAAGCCCTGAAAACACAAACTGAGAGCCACTCGTGTGAAGAATTGCTGACACCAATAAACCTTTTTTTCCCCCAGAAGGACAAATATCAAAACACCTCCCC